CGGATTGTACACACGCAGAGGTAAAGCGAGAGTGATGTTCCGTCGGCCGTCGGTTATTCTTTTTGTATTATACGCATATTTCATATTTATTTCGTATTTTCTTTGGATATGCCAAACGCGCAAAAATTTATAAGGTACATACCTTGATGCAAAATTGCGAGAACATTCTCGCATATCTTCAGCCATATGAAAATCAAATCCATTATTGACTTAACTTGTTTTTACTTCAACCGCGTGGTCTTTAACCACACAAATAATTTTTGTCTCTGTTTCAATGTCTACCGTTGATTTGCAATACGTATTCGATGCATTGATTCGTTTTCGTTTAATGTTTCCATCCGTTTTTCTACTTAAATATTAATTTTTCTTTGTGTAGGTATCACCCAGTAGATATATTTTCCTTGTCATTTAATAAACTATATTTATTAATGTTTGGGCATTTTACATTTAATTTTTTTTGTTTTCTTTTTGTAACACCCTGCATATTAATTTCCCGTAGTGCCAAAAGGGGACAGATGCATATTGTCCCATTTAAACTTAGGATTTTCCTTTAAAATATAGTACTTTTTTTTATATCATCCTGTATTGCAATTTCCCGTAGTTGGTTTATGTAACACCCTGTATACTAATTTCCCGTGGTAAATTTGTCAAAAGGAAAAGGATATGTCATCACACTTAAACTTAGGATTTTTCTTTAAAATTTTATCGTTTTCTCTTTACATCACCCTGTATATTAATTTCCTTTGATATTACTTGGACTGTGTTTCCCTACTTGAATTTTGCATTTTCTCTTTAAATGTTATTATATTGTTTTTCGAACCCGAAGGTTAGCGGTAAAAGTGATTCGTGTTTAGGGCCCCGTACGAAGGTAGCGGTAGAAGGGACTCGTGTTCAGGGCACCGTACCAAGGTAGCGGTAGAAGGGACTCGTGTTCAGAGCACCGTACGAAGGTAGCGGTAGAAGTGACTCGTATTGATAAAATATAAATTATTTTTGGACGTTTTAGCCCAGGAAAATTAATTATTTTATACTTTTATCTAATAGAGAATTTCCCAAAGTTTCATAATCTTCAATCCGGTCGCTAACGTTTTTAGTTTAAATGATATTCGTTACCAAAAATACTCAAAAAATATGACGCAGCACCTTCCTTTGCCCATTTAAGTGAATATTTAATTTAGGCGCGATATTATGAACACCAATTACTTAATTGTCTAAGGTACATAGTAAACTTTTACGAAGACAATAAATTATTTATTTGTAAAATTAGAATTTTAGTTTCGTCTTCTCAACTACGTGTTTATTAGTACGTTTGTGTATAAACAACTCTTTTTTGTTCGACTGACGCGTGTTATCGCTGTGTACCTGCCTTGCTACGCGTAGTGCACACGGCAGTCGTTTCACCGCGTGGTTCGCGAACGTGTCTCTCTAATCGCCATGCGTTTTGAGGTTTTAATTGTAATAATCGTAGTGTATTCTTTCGGCCATCGTCAAAATATTCGCAATGGGAATGTGTGCCTGTTTTGTTTAATGATTTATGGCGGTTAGAGTCTTCTTAAGTGAGAAATAAGTGTCTGCTAATCCTTGCGCAAGTTTTCAGTTGATAGAATATATTTCAGGATAGAAAATCTTCTCGTCAATGCACAGGTAATTTTGTAGATTACCAACACGTGGTGGCATTTTTATCAGAATTCTTCTTAGTCGCGTTTCCGAAAATATCATGCTTCATTTAATTATTACAAGCCCGGTTTTTAAAATTATCGGAGGATTATTGAAATGACAATATAATCAATTTTAAATGTTTAAATGAAATTGATTATACTCTATGAGTGATATAAAATTAGCATGTATCATCTTACAAATTACAAACACATGGTATGTAGCAGTTTTATCAGAATTCTTGGTTCGGTTTCCAAAAATAACATGGATGATTTAATTACTACCAACATAGTTTTAAAAAAGTATCTGAAGATTATTAAAATTGGCAATATTTATGTGGTCTACCACGCTCACTTTGCCATCGGCCGTCGGCCCGGCCATCTTTTCGCTGAACACGTGAATGTTTTTAATCGATTTGCACTCCTTAGCATCATTAAATTAAGAAGTTTCTTGTTGACCTAGTAAAATCTTGTACATTGAATAGTTTTTCGTTTTCATAGTCTCCGTACATCATAATATTTTCAAAAAAATAGTTAGTTAGTTAGTTAACTGTATTGGCACGCGTCGTCGCTTGCCGTCAGCTGATTTGAATGTTTTCCGCCGGATATTCTATCAATTTATGATGATGCTTCTCCCGTCGGTTACTTTATGCAGTTTATGCATCTATTAATAAATATACATTCACAAAATGTTAAAATGTAAGTGATTTATTTTTATACCATCTTTTTGCTCAATTTCCCTATGATTTTTTGGTAAAGTCTTGGATTTTGTATTAAAATATTGTTGTTTATTTGTAAATTTCCTTCTTCGTGTTGTGAATATTAACTCCCTTTGTAGTTTCTAAAGTTTTCTTTTTGTAACACCATGTTTATTAGTTGTCCTAACACTACGTAGAAAGTCGCCGGTATTTGTGAGTTGCGGGTCCTTTTTGTTTCAACTAGAGATTTTCTTTCTGAAACCTCCTGTATATTCACTTTTTCTTTGGGTTCGTCAAAAAATGTTGCTTAAATTTTTGTATTTAGGGTTTTCCTTATTGCCCTTTGAATTTTCTTTTTGTGAGACCCTGTATATTAGTTTCCTGGATCTTCGGGTAAAAAACGAAAAAAAAAACAGTAATTTGTAGTGTTAAAATGTTTTTCTGTTTTTACATTAAATTTGTCATTTGTAACACCCTGTATATTTGTTTTCATTTTCGATAACGTAGAAAATGAACTATTTGCTAATTTCCTTATTCCGGTAGAACAAAACGAAATGCTACTTGCTTATATGTGCGCGGCTATGCAGGTCGTAAGTTTTGCTTCAATATGGCAACACGTATTCTGTTGACTTGTAAAATATAAACTTGTATTCTATTGCTAATAAATAAATAGTAAGATATATTGACTTCTTTGAATTGTGTACCCCTTCTATCATTTCAGGAACTCTCTAAGAGAGTTCCCTATCTCAGGGGATGATCCCCACTATAAAAATTGTTAAGGTATCCTGTGTGATTTGTGTGCTCCTTCTGTCATTTCAGCTACAGGTCAGAATTTGTAAGAATATTTTTAAGTGTCACCTCTCTTGAGGCAACTTAAAACTTAGAAATATTTGAACAAGATCTTATAAGGATTGTCCTTATAAGGAGTTCCCCCTCTCTGGGGGTGATCCCCCACCATAAAAATTGTTGATATGCCTAAGAATCCTGGGGATGAAGCGCAGAGAAATCGTAGCTGTAGGTTGGGCCGGGAGCAATGAACGGATCGAAGCAGTGGGCTGTCTAACGACACGCTCCAAAAAATTTAAAAATCTGATCCGCCCCTGTTGCTCTTTCTTCTATCTCCTCCTCTCCTTCCCCACTCTGTTCTCTTTCTTCTATCTTCTACTCTTCTCTACTATTCCTTCTTCGACTTCTCCTTTCTCTGTTCTCCGTTTCTCCACTTACTTTTCTTACTTCTCTTATTGCCTTCATCACTTTACTTCAATTTCTCTTATATTTTCGTTGCAATTCATGTATGCAACCCAAATTACACTTGTTATTTTCATATTTAAGAAAAATGCCTTCTATAACTGGAGATCGAACCACCGATCGATGGTTTGGCAGCATGTGCTGCACACCTGAGAGCCACGCGGCTTTCTTATCAAATTTTATTCGTTTCTTATATTTATGTATTCATATCTTATGATTAAAGAAAACAACATCATACATGCCCCACACTATGCTATACTATGCTGTGCCATACTCTTACTGTGCAAACGACTTAATACCAATCCTGAAAACGACTAAGAAAACACTAGGGATATATGTAAACAAGAATGTAAGATTAAATAATCTTTATTGACTGAATCATTTATAATTGTTATTAAGCAAATGATGCCTGTAAAATTTAAAAACTTAAATAAAAGTAAAGTTTTACTTGATGTTACTTACTCCTTTGTTCTTCCATCTATAAAAAACTAAAGCGCATAAACACCATTCCGCAAATTGTAAATAGAATTGATGATATGCACTTATTTACTATTCCACGCGGATATCACAAATGGAAAACTTCTTCTCACATCAAACACATAGACACCGGCAGAACATATCTGACGGACGCCACGCACGCACCGCAAATGGTGATTACTCAAATCACTCGTTGTGCGCTACACTGGGCTGTTACTACTAAATCTCTATGATGGTCAACCGATTCAAGTATTACTACAGATTTAAAATATTAAGAAACGCGTAAAATCGTCACCATGTTTGATTAATGAACAAAACACGTGCGCACCATGAGGTGGCGCTCAACGGACTAAGCCGGACTAAGCGGCTAAGAGAATTGATAACCGACTCGCAGTTGGAGGGGCATTCTTCTATATGCACACGATAAAAATGCTATTACAAATATATTGCAAGTTATAAAGTAAGCAGCTGAACTTTACAAACAACATTATTTGGAAGAAAGGATTTTAATAAACGTACTGTGGAAAAATACGACATTTGTGGTACAAATGGTCGTATTGGTTGTTCTACGACATCGCGATCGCCCGCTAGACACTTAAAACAAACGAAAATTATAGCGTTCAAAGAGCAAAAATCGAACTTTCGTTATTTTTCGTTTTGCTAAACATAAAAGTTGTGTATAAAAGTGACGTGCGCATCGCAACTCTGTGCACCAAAAACTAAACAAAAATGAAGTAAGATTTCAAACCAAATCGATGGAAACGCCATCTGGCCGTGGTGGAACAAAACAAAATAGATAGCTCATATGAGCGCCATCTGGGTGTGACGGAACAAAATATATTAGACCACCCGATCGTGGCACCATCTGGTTTTGGGACCACGAACTTGAAATAAATTACTACGAAATCTGCAACGCGTCTGCTAATATTTAAAATAACTAATTTAATTTACTTTTCATTGTATGAAACATGACAATTATTTACAAAAATGAGAAACAATTTCAACACATACAATATCATAATAGGACCGTTGTCTTAAGACCTTTCGTCCGCCCGTTAGACACCAAAAATCATCAAAAATTTGCATTTCGAAGCACACAAATGACATTTTTGCAGGTTTCCCGTGTGCTAATCACACAAATTATTTATGAAAATGATAAACAAATTCAATACTTACAATCTGATAAAATAATGGATCTCCTACTATGTCAGGTTCATGTGCAAAATCCCTAAAACAAGCCAAAATTAGTCATTCGAAACACAAAAATGCAATTTTTGCAGCTAATTAATAAACTAATCACTAAAGTTATTAATGAAGATGATAAAGAAATTCAATACCTACAATCTGATGAAAGAAGGGTTCTGCTACGATGTCAGGTTCATGGGCAAAACCCTAAAACAAGCCAAAATTAGTCTTTTGAAACACAAAGATGCAATTTTTGCTGCTAATTAATAAACTAATCACTAAAGTTATTAATGAAGATGATAAAGAAGTTCAATACCTACCATCTGATGAAAGAGCGGTTCTTCTACGATGTCAGGTTCATTTGCAAAACCTCTAAAACAAGCCAAAATTAGTCCTTCAAAACACAAAAATGCAATTTTGATCGCTTATTTGTGAGTTAATCACAATAGTTATTTATGAAAATGATAAAAACAATCGATACTTACAATTTCCTGCAAGAATGGTTCAGCTAGGACGTCGGGCTCAGGTGCGAAGCCCTAAAACAAGCACAAATCCGCCCTTCCAAATGCAAAAATTTTAATTTTGTAACCCATTTGTGAATTAATACCAAAAGTCAATTATGAAAATAATAAATAAATTTAATATTTACAATCTGGTTCATGAATGGTTTTTCTACGATGTTAGACTCAGGTGCAAAATCCCTAAAACCAGCAGAAATTAGTCCTTCGAACAGAAAAATGCAATTTTGGGGGTCAATTTGTGAGATTATCACAAAAGTTATTTAGGAAAATAATAAGGAAATTTAATACTTTCAATCTGCTGCAAGAGTGATTCTTCTAGGATGTTGGGCTCAGGTCCGTAAAACTCTAAAACAAGCAAAAATTAGTCCTTCAAAACACAAAAATTCGATTTTGTCGCCCATTTATGAGTTAATTCCAAAAGTTATTTAAGGAAATAATAAAAAAGGTTCAATACTTACAAATTTGCTACAGGAGTAAATTTCCTTGCATGTCGAGTCAGTTTGCCTCTTGCTTTTTGTCCTTTCAGCTAATAGAACATGTCCCATGTTGAGCCTTTGTAATTTAAGCCAACCAAGATTGTTAAATTAGCAGCAATTTTTAACAACAATTCAGCATTCATTTCTCCTCTGTCCAAACCTCAAAAATGCAAATTGTATAAGTATAATCTCAAATTTACATGGTCTTTGTCTCCATCTAAAAGAATATTGTATGAATTAGGAACATAGTATTTCATTTATTTCTTCTTAAAAGCTTTTCTAATCTTATTAAATACTTAACGAATTTCTAATTCACTCCTTTAAGTTCTTCCTTGCAGTAACCAATACAATCATGCAGAAACAACCAAACGCCGGAAACAACAAAACAAAACAATGCTATTGAAAACATTCACAGCTAGCAATATCCTCACAAAAAACTGCAAATCAAGCGGCGCTAGAGATGGGCGTTCATGGATTAACGTTGCCACTGACCCACAGAGGGCGATGCGGTTTAGATTTACGAATAAAATTCAACATTTTGAAAAATACATTTTCTGTTTCTACTGTGTTTACTTAATTACGTATTAATTTAATAATATGTATAAGTCCATCATATAATGTAAAACAATATAAAATAAAATGGAAATAAAACGTATTTTCAATAATCGCAATATAAACATTATAAAAATGTATGAATGTCAACAAATATGATTTAAGTGTAATGATTCCAACCGCAATCTTTTTAAATATTGATTAATTTAATGTTATATTTCACATATTAATTTTTAAATATGCAAAAGGTATTAACAACAATTTATGAACAGTTAATTAATTTATTTTGTGCGCTGTAACAAATGTTACCGGCACTAAACATTAAATAAACATTTCAACATAGAAAACTAATTTTAGAGATAATTTGCATTAGAGAAACACGAATCTCGTTTATTTTACAAGCCGCTTTTTATTGTTGTTTACAGAGGAAGCACTGGCAGCGTATATCGTTGGCGAGTTCCTCTCTATCAGCAGTTCCGTTTTCGCCAATCCTATGCGTGTTTGCGTTTATAGGTTTCTTGCTGGAAGCAATATCAGAATTTGGATGCTAAATGTGTTTGTGTGCATGCTCTCGCCCTGTGCGAAGCTAAATGTAGTGGAACTTCAGACCAACCGTGAGTGATGGATAGTAGTACGCCCTTCACCTATCCACCGACGAAGGCCCACTGCTTTGCCAGCATATCGATGTAATATGCGTTATTGTGATGTGTATATGAGTATTAATAAGTGAAAATTGTAATTTTATGCCTGCCAGATTAAACGCACTTGTTTCTGACAAAACAATTAACACCACAAATTTAAATTTATTGAGATAATCATAGCAAAAACTAGAAAATAGTTTTTATCTTATCGAGACTATTTTAGAATCCACATGGTGCAGCATTCAATATCAAAAACCCGAAAAATATAAAGGAAAGACGCTTCACTCTCGAGTGGACTTGGTATTATTGTGCGTCCATCTGCTTTCCCGGTCCGATTCATGTTACTTCCGCGTCGAAGAACCCTTAAGGTCATTTTCCTTGCCGATGTCGTTCGAACACGATATACGAAAGGAAAATACATTCACTGTCGAATACCAAATACGCACCATTCAGATGAAAAGCAAAAAATCTTTAAAGATAGTCAAGATTTCCGCTGATTAATCTAAAATCGGCAAAATCAAAGAATTATGCGTGTAATTTGAACATATTAATTAAATGCAACGATAGATTACTTCCACTACATTTTGCAGCTTCAATAATATATACCATCTATCATTCAGCTATCGCCAACACATTTCCATATATATCGACAGATGTTATAATCGCATTTAAGTGCAATTTCCAATAATTTACTAGGCGCAAAAGTTCAGCATCAAAAACGCTCGAGTGTGGTGCGTACGGCTGAAATTTGCATGTCGTGTTTCGTATAATGAGCGTCGTAATCACACAATTTCAAAACATACGAAGGTGTGGATGCATATGATGATGGCGGTGGTTAACGCGATAAAACTCGTCGATAGCGAGCGACGAGCGGCGTATCAATTGTTCTATTTTAGCACGACACCGGTGCGGCAGGAAGCGTGAAAGCATCACCATCGCAGCATGCAGGACGGTCATAACATCAGGAGCAGCAGTGGCAACAGCAGCAGCAGGTATAACTACGGTGTGTGATTTTCACAATTCAGCGACTCTGCTGAAAATAACAATGGGCGTGCAGTCACGCGAAATAACACCCTGTAGTTTTACACGGTGCGTTGTGTAACACACACCGTTTATTGCCACTTCAAGTGCCGGCGATATATTTCCATCGTCATTGTGCGACGCGAATGTGTGTCGCTTTGACGCCCAGTTTTAATATTGCACTCGATTTTATTTCTGCATAATGCCAGGCGTAAAACACGACATGCAGGCGGATGAGAAGGCCGTCTATGACGTTATTATCCTCTGCACACACATAAATATTTTTACACATTTGACGATCTGATGAATGAATATACCCGTGATTTACGATTTTTAAATGAAGTTATGTACGCTCATAAATTCCAATCATATGATGATAGCATTCATTGCAATGCATATGCGTATAAAAGTTTAGATTTTATAGGTAGCAGCTTTTACGACATCAACGTACAAGTTGCCAGTATTACTGAAAACATTTTCGTAATTGGATGAATACTTTTGGCTTAAAATTTAATCGCAGTTGCTATTTTTGGTTATGTAACGACGCAACCCACATAACAACTGCTTATTACGCGCACAATGTGTGGTGAACTCTTTTTGCCCCACAATGTCATCATGTAAGTTTTATAACGTGTGCTGTTTTTCCCTAGGGTATACGAACAGTCGGCCGACGTCGATTCGTTGCTACAAATTGCATAATATCGTATGCGGTACAATCGGTTCTTAGCAGTGCGCCATTCGTTACGTCGTTCCGCCGCCGTTAAGGGTTGCACGATAAATCATTTTAGCAAATTCACGTTTCCACTTTTCAATAATATAAATGGAGTTTTGCATACACTCGTAAACTTCGCCGAAAAACATGACGGAATTTTGTGTATATCATGCGGGTCGTAATAGTGGCATGGTGCGAGATTCAAGGCGTGCGCGTGTTAGTTGTATAGTTTGAAAAAGGGGATGAAAACAACATCGTTATACATAACAAGTTATTCCTTCTGCGGTTGATTTATGATGCGCTTTCACCGCCGCCTATGCTAATAGTAGCATTTATATATGTCTGCGTAATATAAGTTACATAGCGAGTTAATTTGTTACTTTGATTTATTTCAAACATCTACGCAAACACCAAAAAATGTTTTTTTTTGTTGTTTATTCGTTTGTTTTTAATCTTAGATATACTCGTAGCAATACTATTATACAAAGACGTGAAATCTGTAATTGTTGTGAATGTTACATGAAAATGTCAACTTTTTAAAATCGAATTAATCGCATCCCTCGAAGGTACCCACAACAATAGCCCACATATTCAAGTGCGTTTGTTGTCTGAGTATTCGAACGCAATAGAATTCGCATCTGTCAGTGATATCAATGCGGATGCGAGGCAGAGGACGGCGAGAATTAAGCAAAACCCTTGGCTAGCCTTAAACCAGTTAGCATAGAAAACCTCCAAAGCGTAAAGAACAGAGCGACACCAGGGGAGTGCGCGAATTGTGTGTATATATCACTGCGTTTTATCATTGCTTGCGTGTGAGAGTATGTGTGTAACATTGGAGACGAGAAGAGATGTAACGTCCGATGTCTGTCACATCAGTATTAGGGTGGTGGTGAGGACGACATTCACGACACTTCAGTTTCCAGAGATTTCATGCCGGATTGAATTCTCATAATGAAATATTTCAGCTAATTGCCACACCACCTCGAAATATAAAATAATGAAGTACGTAAAAATCAGTTCCCCAGCAGCAGGAGTTTCCGCACGGATGCATCGCAACGTGCCAGCGACGCGACTCGGCAACAACCAAACGCGCCGAGCTTAATCTACTGTCAACAAATTAATTATAGAATCGCCGGACAAGTCAGGAACAACTGTAATTTGCGGTGATCTGCTGTTGACACGGAGACAATGTAAGCTTCACTGACGATGATAGATGGTGCAACCATGATGGATGCTGTGCGACCACTTCCCGATTACAGCAACATTCCGCTAATAAACAATCAAATGCGTGAACGTGCAGGCAAGCGTGCGGTTGGTCGCCGTCCACGCCAATGTGGATCGGGGTGGTGGATGCACTTTCGGGGTGCTGGCGGCGGAATGTGCACGAGATGGCCGAACGTGCGCGCACGAAATTTCACAAAACACATCATGCGGACACGGGAAAAAGGTGTTTACATATCTGTTCACGCTTCGCTCACATTCTAAATGGAAGAACGTCAAGACGCGCTGGACCAAACGGCAGCTGTACAAATCTTCAAATGCTCATTATGCATTTACCCAAAGAATAAGAATACAAACTTTTTTTTCGTCAATTTTTGCCTCTAGCTGTTTTTCAAAATGACAAAACTCCTTAAATACAAATCAAAATATTTATTTCTGGGGACATGTTACATTTTATGTGAATATAACTAGTCCTGTGTCAAAACGTCAAGTGTATCAAAGTTTGGAACATAGATACTTGTACCTACATTGTTCGGGGGTTGAATGTTGAATGTGAAAGGACCACCCGGAATGGTCGATAGCCCCGAAACTAAACAATAGATTTTCGAGATGGAAAACAGTTGTGGTCGCTGACAGACGGTAGAAAGATCTCATTATCAGATACGAGTAGCAATATGAGCCGATAAACACCGGCGGAGATTTTGGGGAAATTACCACAAAACCAAAATCCACCCTTCAAATTTAGTGCCAAAAATTCTCATTACTTATTTTAAAATTTACGAAATAAATTTATTTTATTTATTTCACTGCTTTTGTGTAATTTATGTAATTAGTAAAAAGGTCACTTTTGCAAGTATAAAAGTAAAGACGAGAAATTAAATTAGAATATTGAATAAGCAGACAAACTGGCAGCGCTACAGCACGTCGAAAAATTACGACCCGAAGCACACGACATAAAATTCTCCGCGAGAGTGAAAAAAAAGGTTTTTATATGAATACAGAACATTAATTATGAGCTTTTTGTGTAACAATGTAATACGCGTACTTTTCGCCGGGATGCGCGTACACGTAAAAATGTTAGTACTAAATGTAATTACTTAACAGGAGCTTCGCATATAAAAAGGAGTCTCATTCGTGGTTCCTGTAGCGTAACGGTAGTCAAGGAGCATCATGACTAATTGAAGCTCGTCCGTGTACGAGCCGGAACACAGGTATGCACAAAGATAAAGCTGGATCAGCAATCAGGTGAATTAGCGGAGAGACGGATTACTACTA